AGGGAGTAGGCGTAGGCGACTCCCTATAGACTCGTTAGTGAAGTAGGCGAGGTACGGTCCGGCATTAGATAATACCAGGGTACGTTCCAGCAGTACCCTAAGGGACATAGACCCTCTCAGCTCTAGTAGTAGTACTACTACTAAATTAATACGGTACTATAGGCCTTGGCAACATAGACTTATAAGTATACATGTCATATCATGTCCATGTGCACTGTTGACAGTGTTGTGTGAATGTATTTCCAGCAGAAGGGCTGAATAAACATCATCCTATCCTATCACCGTCCTGGACATCATCTCTATCAGTATCAGTATCATCAGGAGCTCTGTCATCAAGACCTTTGTGACGTTTGTCATTATTAGCTCCTGGTATCATTGAACCGTTCTCTAGTCTAGAGCTAAATACATTTCGTGTTTATTTACCGGCATCATTTTACCAATAGGCAATACCATTGTCATTGAAACGTTCCAATTAAGTGCCTGTGACTATGTGCGAGCACGGTTAAAACAATTCACGTCTAAAGTACTTACCGACGAAGTACAAATAAAATGTAAACCTCATATTGTTTTCGTTTGACCACATAATGACATAACAACATAAACTGATCTTCTCATTTCTATGGACCACCTTGTCTAATGGGATTGGTCGGTTGACATTTGTTTACTCTAAGTTTCCGAACATTTGATTGGTCGATGTTGTTGATCTTGCTTGTGATTGGTCGCTCACGCAATGTTGAAAAGTTATTTGTTAGGTTTAAAATGAATTCACCGGCGGCTTGAATAAGCATCGAACAGAAATTAATTAAAAATACTCACTGTTACTTCGCATACACAACATACACTTTATTCATGTCAAATAAGTACCGATCCATGCTCTATGCTCCGCTCGAAACTTTTGCCAGCTCTATGATGTGAATTTCTGCAAAGTAGTCTGAACACATTTCAAGCACAAAAATGACCAACCGGTCACCATGGCTACGCCACCTGACGGAATGTCACGGCTACACGACAAGACAAATTTTACTTCTAGTGCTTTCTAGACGTCCACGAGGTATCTAACATGCGTGCATAATGCAAATTATTGCACTCTAGTGTCGAATTTCAGCGAAAACAAATCCAAAATGGCCTTTTCTAGAGACGAAATAGTGTAACAATTTAGTGAGACAATTTGCGGAGGCTTACTGTTGTATGCCTCCTAAATATTCGCCCGGTTGCATAAAAGCTGCCGTCACGATCGGTTACCTGGAGTACTCTATTGCAAATATATACATGACCGGGCGAAACTCGTGACGGGTTGTTATAACTGCACATTATATCCACCCATGACCGGTAAAAAGCGACTGGTTTTTACGACCAGACGAAAATTAAAATTCTCAATTTTGTAAATTCTCAAATACTGATAGCTTCCTGTAAATGCCGTTCAAATATTCCGAGACACAAGTTCACACGTCCATAGGAGTTATATTTTGTGCTGAATATGGTTAGGGGGTTTCCCTTCTGCAAGAAATTATTACCAGCAGACCTGTGTTTATAATTAGGAGTGCGCCCTAGCCTGTAGGATACGAACTCCTACTTCATCCAGGGGCGGATTCAGACCGTATTTGCCGTATTGGGAAATACGGTCTAGATTTCAAAGTGCCCTTCAAAATTTTGCGCTCACTGCGGGGTGGTGTGCCCTTTTTGGGCGATGTGCCCTTTAAATCTGGAAAAATACTGTCTAGCCTCAGCCCTGGAACCGGCCCTGTGACATCCCCGACCGCCCTTCCCCTTGTCTCCCATGTCTCACGCTCAGCCTCCTTCTTCTTCTACCGCCCTCACCTATTTTCCTTGCTGCATATCCTCCTTCTTTCACCCCTCTCTCCCCCCAGCAAGCTATATTATACAGTTTTCCTCAGTTCGTACTGCCAGCCTGAAACAGTGCTTGCGCATGTGAAATATATCCCGAGAAGGATAATATTTTGCGAAAATTATGCATTTAAAATAGAGTGGAGGTATTCTAGCACAGGTTTATATGATACATTCCATCAGTAGACCTCACTTAAGAAATAGGACGAAGACGTACGTAAGGACATCGCTGCATATTCCAGCCCAGAGGCACTTGAAGCGTTTCAATAAAATATATACGCAGGGGTCGTGTGCTGTGCACGGCGACAGTTAAATATATATATAACTGTATATTTATAACTGTATAACTATATATTTAACGGTCGCCGTGCACAGCACACGACCCCTGCGTACATATTTTATTGAAGCGCTTCAAGTGCCTGTGTTCCAGCCAGCACACAATCTGGCTACGTTATTGTGTTAGCGCATGCGCAATATCTCACCATAGCCGTTCACCGCACGCACGTCACTGTGCGCAATTAAAAAGATAGAAAATATAGAGTTATTCTCTATATTACTATATGATTCTATATATTCTATATATTAAACTCTATATTCTTCTCTTTCTAGATATAACGAAGAATCTTAGTCTATGCTAACACCGATCGAGAATTGTTTCCTCTCGACAATAGATGGCGCTGCGACGTCATTTTTGCCTTACACTTCGCATCGCTATCCGGTTCGTCTGCGTGCTAATCTATTCGACTCCCACAGCGTCGGGGAGGGGGTGTAGAAGTTCGGCTGCGGGCTGTCGTTGCTCACTGCGGGGCGGGCGTGCTTTGATCGAGCCGTAAGTGACAGCTGTAACGATGCGGCGCGACAGAGAGGAAGTATAGGGTGTGTAGTATAGGCGGTAACACACGCATGCCTGCCTGCCTGCCCCATGTCGCTGCTGCTGCGCTGTTGCTGCGACCCCGGCGGGCTCAGCATTAGCAGACGAAGATGGATAGATAGAGACAGAGGGAGAAATGAATGATAGATCAGCTTATGTGTTGAGGCTACTGCATTTGTGCTGCCACCTATCGAGAAAGGAAGTTATGAAACAGAGTTTCCTGGGGGCCGAATCTGTTTAATCCTTTTGTGAACACCACACCGGCGACTTGAAATATATATTCACGCCAACGCGCATGCGTGTGGATCTCACACGATTACGCACAGTGCAGCGCTCTCCGAATTTTGTTATGGTATTATAATTCGGGTTTACTGCCGTGAGACCTATCCCCGTACAATCTGCTCGTGTCCTTGCTTCCTCTCACCTTCCTGGCCACCTTCCGCCTCCAGCCTGCACTCCTGGTACCTCGTTCGCTGGCAAGCCGGGTCCAGACAGATGCCTGACTCCATCCACATCTTTCACTCCGTAGCTAGACAGATAAGACGCGGTTACAATCGCACCAGTATTCATGCACCGCACCAACGCGCCATCTTTCGCAAGCGCCGTACACTAGTATTTGGATTCCAACATGGCAGAGCCCACGATGCCAACGCTGTAACATCAATCATGCTGATTAAAACACATTAAAACTACAACCAAGACTTGTCAAATACCATTACATGGTGGCAGCGGTGCGGGATCTGCCATGTTGGATTCCAAATACCAGTGTACGGCATTAACGATAGCTCAGATGGTGTCCGTCGTGCATGGCAGCAATGACGCGAAAACAATGCATACATCTCCCAAATATTTCTTCTCGAAGGAGTGCAACTTGGTCTTGGTATGGTTCAAAACAAACAATTATATACATTGAGAGAAGTGGATGGAGAGCCGAGTTAGCTCTATTGGACACAGATCCGCTGCAGGAGACCCAAGGAGATTGAACGAGTTTGTTATTAGGTACCATGAAGTAGAAAAGCTAGCAATGAACCATTATATAGCTCAAGCCATTCAGGTATATCTGCCATGAAACCTCTGCTACTACTGATAGTACAATTTCTACGTGACGACATCGTTGTGGACGTTAACTACACGGGCAACTCGAATATTTTACCGTTCATTACACGCACATGTGTACCAGTAGCTCAGCAACGTTGTCACGACGATAAACATACGTACTTCTGAAAGTTACTATGGTGACACACTTTCTCCATCATCTCCAAGATCTCAGACTCTAGCAGGTCTCCACCCAGAGAAGGCTTGCTGGACACAGCTTTACCGAAAGCCTCAGTGAACTGCGGGTCAAATAAAATAACAATATTAATGGAATACATATCAAAGCGCCAATCACTTCTTAGTATAAACGCAGGCTACATGCAGGTTCCAGATGCACATACATGAGGGCACGAAATTAGCACCGGCTCATGCTGGCACATGCCGACAAACTATTTGGAAGACCGGTGGGAATGGCGAAACACTTGCCCTCTGAGCCGGTAGTTTCAGCCATGTCAGTGAATACCTCCACGTACTTTCATTTATGGCAATAACGAGAAATCGTACAGCTATGGATATTCAAGATGAAGAGAGCGAGAACGGAAAAACAACCATCTTTTTAAAGAATCTTCCGGGGTGAAAAGCAATACACCCGACCCTTGTTTTAACTAATGTGCTTGCGGGCCGTGGATTTTTGTCGGCGGCGAAAATACCGCCTTTACGCGCACATTGGAGATGTGCGGTCTGGGGAACGCGAAAGCCCAACAGAATGACCGTCGCTCGCTGACCTCGGAGTGGCGGCCCGGGCTTTTATTACAGACACGTACCTGGATCGAGAGAGCCAGGCAGCTCGCACCTTTCAATACGCAACGGCATGTGAAGAGGACTGCTCTCTCATCCGCTGAGGTCGGGAGACTGAATCTTGATGGTGCCGAACTTCCGCTAGGATCGAGATTCCGAGCCGTGGGCCGTCGGCGGCAATCGCACAGGCAGCCTGGCAAAACTGAGGAAGTCTATGCCAAGCGGTGGATCAAATCTACGGTTAGACTATCCAGAATCAATCTGTAACGAGTTTAAGTTGTAAATCCGGTGCGACCACAAGACATTAGCAACGCACGCACTCGCGCGATAACCCGTTACGTAACGAGAGTGACAGAAACCTTGCAATACTTGGAGGTAGCTGTCCGCACGCAGGACCAGTGGCTCATGAGAAGACACTGGTCCTGGTCAGTAGGCCGCACGCACGCATCGCCGCAGCACATGGCACGCGGACGCATCACGGTTTCCGCAACATACACGAATGCACGGAGCACTGGTCCAGGGATTTCTGTCGTAGCACAAGATGAATGCACGTAGGATGCTGGGGAGCGTTTTATATAGGGGGGAGGCGGCGGTGCCGATGGGTATTTGGGTGAGGGCGGTGGGCATGGTCTAGAGGGCTATTCTATGAAAAATTTAGTTGGTTTTAGCTCGTGTTTTGTGTAAACCACTGTTGTTCGTAAGAAACGTCGGAACAAGTCCGCAAGTCGATTTCAAACGACTCAGCGAGCGGCACACCATCTGGGTACCGCCATGCGATCCACGTTCACAGGCACACTCACGACTGCACCCCGTGACAGAGACCAAGCCGGCCAGGTTGATTCCTATAAGCTGTATGATCCTTTTTACTAACGGGCGGAGGTTGGCGCGGCGGGCGGCCGGGGAGGCGAGCGACGTTTCCACCTGGGGGCATTGGGGTCCGCGCGCGGGATCAGCCACGTCGGGAGTTCATCGCTAAGTCATGGCGAGTTTTTGATATTGTATCCAGGGAAGAACATAGACAACAAGCGTGTCAGCCGGCTTGCGATCACGTTCACGGGGAGGCGCGCAGCTGACGATTCGCAGCGAATACGATCTTGGAGCGTATCGGTTGTTAGCGGCGGACGTCTCAGTTTCCGGTGGTGGGCAGCCGGGCTTACCGTGTACCCGCAGGACCCGGTAGTGGCCCGCCGCCCGCCCTACGTGGGGCGCCGCAACAGGCGCGCCACTGTCCGGCAGGGGCGAGCTCGGAGAGCGGAGGGCCGGCAGTCAGGGCGGCGCGGGGCGGGATGGAGCGTAGTCAGTGCTTAAGGAGCTGCGGGGACAATCGGTCTAACGGCCGGCAAATATGCAATTCGATCACCTGTTTTGTGTAAAAATCTTCATTTTGTCACGCCCGCATCGCGCCAGTGGTGGACCGGGTGGCAGTCGCGCATGCCCCGACGTTCGACGGGCAAGCCACATACCACGGCAATGCCAGCGGCGGACGGGCGCAGGCGGCCATACGTTTCACCGGAGCCACGACGATGGTGAGCGCGGGTTGCCTGCATACCGAAGGAGGAGCCGGAAATCGACATTGGGCTTAGTTCCAGAGTGTTTTTCAACGGGTTCTACAGTGCAGTTACGGCCGGGCGGTGGCCACGGACAGTACACGCCGGACATGGCACGCACGGGGGGCCCGCGAGGGCGGGGGGTGTGCACCCACTGCGTCAGTCGCGGGGCAGAGTACTGTTGCCGTCACCTATCAGTAGTGCAGGGGGACGAGCGACGGTGATCTACCGAAGGGTGACCACAGATGGGCATCACTACATGGGACTGTTGCCTGATTTCTGGGGGTTTGCCCAGGGGGTGGGGCAAGACAGGTCAGCAGACACACTAGGGCGACCCCGAGAACTGCTAGTCTGTGGCTGTTAGGTGGCGTGAACTTTGACGTAGTTGAGTATTGTTAAAAAACTTGTTGACTCGGTGAGATCGGGTTCCCGGCCTAGTAATGGAGGCCGTGGCCAGTGTTGTGTGCTTGCGGGGGCAGGCACGGGTGTGTGTGTGTGAGTGTGTGAGAGCGGGGCATGGTGGTCTTGCGTGTGTGGTTGTGTGTTGTTGTGTTGTGTCTGGTGGTCGGGGTGGTCCTGATGCGCGGGCGTTTGGATGATGTTTGTGGTGTTCGTTGGGGTTGTGTGTGCGTGTCGTGCGTGTGGGTGAGTTCCTGTGCCATGTCGCAGGGGCCGCGTTGTGACACGCGGCGGGGTGCAACGAGGGGTGTGTTGTGTTGGCACTTTACCTGGGGTGTTTGTGGGCAGCCGGGCGTGCGGCCCCGGTGGGGCGGCGGTTGTTGTGGGCGGGGCGGTGTGTGTGTGCGGGGGGGGGTGTGGGGCGCCGGACCTCTCGCGGGCGGCGGGGGGCGGGGCGGGCCGGCGCGCCGCGGCGGCCTTGATGACGACGCGCGCCGGGCGTCGGGGCGGCGCTGGCCGGGGCGGCCAGCGGGGTCGGGCGCGGTTGGTGGGCCCGGGGGGCGCGGCCGCGGGCTTTCGCCGGGCGCCGGGTGGGGGGCGCGGGGCGGTGGGGGGCGGGGCGGCGGCGCCGGCCCACGGGAGCGTGGGCGGGCCCCGGGGGGCGCCTTGAGCGACGAGTGGGGGGGGTAGTCTTGCGATCTGACTCTGTTCGCAATGAGGGGCGGTGGGCCAAGGGGTCGCAATGCATCGTGAAAGTGTGATGCAACTTGCCCGTGCAGTAGTGTGCGCGGGGCACGGGTGCCACGAGAAATAGGAACCGCGAAAGTGCCTCCCACGCCATACGGTCCGGGGGCCGAGAGAGTGTGTTGCCGATGGGCGCACGAGGTCGGGCCGGCCGGGGGGGCGCGCATGGACGTGTCACGTCACACATAGCAAATGCAGCGCATCCGTTCACGGCAGGCGCCGCGCATGCAGCGCATGTCAGCGCACGCATGACTGTTCAGCGGCGCGGGAGTGTAGATCACCGTGCATGCAGCCCGGACGGGCCCGCCCCATAGCGTCCCGCGGGCGGGGGGGAGCGGTCTCCCCGGTGCCATGCATGAAAGTCAGCATGCTGCCAGGCACATCGGGGCGCACCACATGCACATGCACGCAAGCAATACGTATGCACGCACAATGGCGGTCTCGTCCGGCGAAAGTTACAGAGTGCCTAGACTAGAATCTTTAAGTATCAGTTATCACATGCACATGGCAGTGCCCGCTCTCATTACAGGCGTTCCGTTGCCTATCACTAGATTATACTACTGGTCAAACGCTGCACTAAGAAAGTGAGTCGCACCATTCAACATTCCGCTTCTATCCTTTTCCCCATAGTGCACACCATGCACATCGATATCGAAAAAGTCAGAACGAATCTAACGCCCTTAACCGGCTCTTGACTTACGCAACCCTGCCCATGTGTCAAGGGCGTTCGCCCGGCTGTCAACTGGGGTCGTGCGCCCTCGGACTCACCACGATAACACCTGCGGATATATAAAGAACTGGTATTTGTTATGGAATCGCATGACGGTCAGTAAAAACACTCGGGCTGCACCTTACAGATGCCCGGCCGAGCCAAATCGCATCTTCTTTAGAACAAATCAAGTGGCTATGTTCCGCATTAAAGCGCGTGCGAGTTTTTGTTCGTGGTGGCGCATACGTTTTCCAACAATAAGCGTTAGGGACTTCGCAAATTGAGCAGCTCTACAAGGTTTGGATAACCCCGCCGTCTACGTTGATGAACGGTCGTATTATGCGACGTTCATCGCCACAGCTATTGCAGTCATTACACACGCAAGTCTGGCATAGCGTATTTCTACTTTCTATTGCGGCATCGGTGCTACGGTGTTTCCGACGGGCACCGGCAGCACTTACTATGCACATGCCTCCGCTAGTCGAGCCATGACGTTTACGCACCCCACATCCAGGCAATCGCACCGAGTGCTGACGACACATCAACAGAGGGTATAAGCCGTCGCCATAGGTCAACACGTGGACAAGGATTAAAGCTAGCCCAATCTTGTAAGGATACACGCGAAACGCCTCCCATAGACCCCGGGTTCTGAGAGTAACTTAGATCAAACAAAATATTCATCTCATCGGCAACTCGGTTCGCATGATTAGCGGGGATTCTATGCCGCGCCCTAATATCAAGATGCCATAACATATCTTTGAGGGACAAGCTGTGGTCAGTGAATCTATGAATTTGGTAAACGTTACCTACATAAATCGGCGTACACTCACCACAGAACAGCCACAAGAAGGCTGGCCGCGCGAAGAGCCAGCTGGAAGGTCGGCGAGGTCGATACCCTGTGGTGCGGCAGTTACTCCCCTACGTGTGAGCAGGGCGCTGGCTAATTGATTTTTTGGCGAAGCAGTCATGGGTGATGAGGGGGTGGCATGATAAACTGTTGTGGGATGGTATACAAGTGCTGCTTACTAGTTTCGGCTGCTGCTGCTGCTGTTGGTGCTGCTCGTGGCTGCTACTGCGCTCGCTAAGCTGCTGCGACTGCTGCTCCCGGCTGCTGTCTGCCTGCTGTCGCCGGCTACCTCGCTGCTGTTGCTGCTTGCTGCTGCTTACGGCTGCTGTTTGCTGCTGCCTCTGCGCTGCTGGCGCCGTCAGCTGCTCACCGCAGCGCCAACTGCCTTGCTGCTGCCTGCTGCGCTGCTGCCCTGCATGTTTGCTGCTTGCTGCTGCTGCTGCTGCTGACTGCCGCTGGGCTGGCGCTGGCACTCTGCACCTGCGCTGCAGTTTTTTTTTTTTGTTTTGCTTGTGTCGGCTGGTCGCGGCGGGCGACTAGATAAATCGCCGCACTAGCAGCGAAAAAAATACAGACTTGTAATACGGGGAAGCGCATAATACGACCCGTTTTCGGTCCTCACGTAGACGGGTATGCCGAACCTTCTAGAGCTGGCATGAACTCCGCCCCCCCCCCCCCCGCCCTCAACGCATAATTGGCGCACACAAACAAAAACTCGGCGACGGTTTAAGAAATCGATTGCGGCCCGGCATGTGTGCAAGCCGATGTTTTTATGACCGGCATAATTAACCCATAACATAAGTTTTTTAATATCGTCAGGTGTTTATCGTGGGGAGTGACGGGCACCGACCAGTGACACCTGACAACGCCGTAATCAAAGGCTGTTAACTTGAATTTCGTCACTGTTTCATGTGGACTATGGAAAATCGGAATGTGAAAGTGGCCCTATTTTTATTCAGTTAGGATATCTAGCAAGCATGTAAACTGTATAATGATACTTAACAGATTCTAGGCACTTGTAACTTTCGATGTGCGCAAGCATTGATCTATGCATGGGGGTACGTGGGAGCTGGGGAGGAGAAAAACGAAGTAAAACCTTTGCCCGAAACTCCCGCTCCTAGAGATTCCCAAGACAAGTTTTTTTAACATACTCCAAGTAACTAAAAACTATTGTACTGTGTAGTGCAATGTCTGCCTGTGTGAATTAAATTGGAATAAGAATGTGATTCCGTTTCTTAGTCGAGTGAAATTGAAGATTTTAAAAAAAGTGATCGAATGCAATTTGTTGACGATTTCTTAACTGATAGTCTGATACTGGGTGTTCGAATGCTGAATGCGTGAGTAGCTCTGGGCCACCTACAATAGCTCGCCGTAAAAAAATTACGAGACTCTTTTTTTCATACAATTCAAAAAATGATTAGATAATACTTGGGAGATCCCGACGCAATCAGCATCGCGTAATAAAATATGAAATTTTATAGGAATATATGGTTGGTCCTTCAGAGACCGCTGATCTTTGAAATCGACTATGCGGACTTGTTTCCGAATTTACTACGAATCAGTTGTTATCAAAACGACTAAAAAATTATAATTTTTTAAAGTAATAGCCTTAGAATGCAGCATCACGCAAATTGCACCATCCCCCTATATAAAAACGTCTCCGCCACATTGAAGTCATTCACTTT